AGTTGGAGGGGCAACAGTGTTTTCTGTTGTTCTCATAAAGCCTGTCTTAGCCAGGCACAGTGGCTAATGCCTATGATCCCCAACACTTTGGGAAGCCCAGGCAAGAGGAACACTTGAGGCCAGGAGTTTGAGACCAGCCTGGACAACCTAGTGAGACCCTGTCTTGTATAAAAAATGTCTCAAATTAGCCAGATATGGAGGTATGTGCCTGTAGTCCCAGCTACTTGAGAGGCCAACATGGGAGGTTTGCTTGAGCCCAGCAGTTTGAGGCTGCAGTGAACTATGATTGCACCACTGCACTCCAGCCTAAGCCACAAAGGAAGATCCTTTTTCTAAATTAAAAAAATAAATGAATTCAGTCTTTGGCTTCATTATGTCCTTTGATCTGGTACATTTGGTCTTTTAGTGCTCCTGCCCACCCTTAGATGGGCACAAAACAGTTCTGCTCCTTTCCCCAGATGCAATAGCTTTCATCAGTGCCCCAAAGACAGCAGTGTTTCTTGGCCCCAAATCTATACAGATTAAAGCATATGTTCCCTAGGCAGGGTTTAGTGCCTTCCTATAGTGGCTGATACTCCCCTTCCTGAGTCCTGTACCATGAAATTTCTTTCTCAAGACTCTTGCCAGTCTTTCTTGTATGCCCCTGTTGCGGTACAAGAGTTTGTGAACTTAGACTTCAAGTCTGCTGCCTCTTGAGCCTCCACACTGTCTAGCCAGCCAATACTTAGCTTCCACCAGTTTGATATTTACTCTAGCTGAACCATTCTTAGCTTGTGGCTGTTTCTGCCCCTGGTGAGAAAGTGCTTAAATCTCATCCCATCTCTCTTGGAAGGCTCCCTTAGAGTTTGGCTAGCTTTCTTTGTTTCCCTCATTTTGGCTCACTGCAACCTCTACCTCCCGGGTTCAAGAGATTCTTCTACCTCAGCTGCCCAAGTATCTGGGACTACAGGTGCGTGCCATCACTCCCTGCTAATTTTTGTATTTTTAGTGGAGACGGGGTTTCACCATATTCAGGCTGACCTTGAATTCCTCACCTCGTGATCTGCCTGCCTTGGCCTCCCAAACTGCTGAGATTACAGATGTGAGCCACCATGCCCGACCTGCCTTCTTTTTTCACTGGAAGGGTGGGAACAGTAGTGCTTTGAGCCTCTTCATCCCAGATCACAAATCAAAAGTTCTGATTATGATGTATTTGTGATAGTTTTATTTTGTAGTTTCGGTTTCTTTATTTTTTGTTCCTATGTTTGTTCTTCCTTTCCTCCTCTTTATTGGATTAATTTAGTTTTTTCTTTCACTTTCAGTTTGACTGTTATAATTTATTTTGTTTCCTGTTAGTGTTTAGTACCTGAAAAAAATTGGGAGTGCTTACCTGGCTGAACAAAGTCTAAAGTTAGTCTTCATCTCTGTATCCCTTCCAAACATTTATAAGGACCTATAAAGAACTTTATGTGTTCTTCTGACTTACAAGTTGTTATTGTTCATTTTTTAATACCTCTGAACTACTAGATATTATTATTATTTTATGGAGTCAGAGCTTATCTGGATTTGTTCCTGTTAACCAATTATTGTTGCTCTGAATTCTTTTTTTTAATTTAGTTTAGTTTAGTTTTTTGTTTTTTTAATAGGGTCTCACTGTTTTGCCCAGGCTTAATTGTGGTGGCTGTTCACAGGCTCCATGATATCTCACTACAGCTTCAAGTTCCTGACCTCAAACAGTTCTCCTGCCCCAACCTCCCAAGTAGCTGGGATTACAGGCTGCTCTCTGCTCTTATATTTGACAGTTTCTAGTTTCCATCCTGCCTTGTAAATCTGTCACGTCTTTAAAATTACTTTTCTCCCTTGTGTGATAGTATAGCTCAGTATACTACTATAGGGTGAAGTTTTTTTTTTTAAGCACTACAAATTTTTGCCGTTGAAATATCTGCTAGACATTTTATTATCCTTCCTTTATAGATCTCAGTTTTCCCCTTGATTTGCCTCTGTAGCATTCTAAGTTTTGTTACAGTACATTTTGGTGGAGATTTATTTGTATTTATCCTGGTTGCAACTAGTTGTGTTTCCTAAACTGTAGATTCATATCTTCTATTTCTTAAATTGTAAAATATTCTCAAATATTACCATCTCTTAGACCATCATATCTCACTTTCTTTTTCCATTTTATCCTGTAACCCCTATTAGGTATATTTTGGACCTTACTCTATTTTTCTTAAATTGTAAAATATTCTCAAATATTACCATCTCTTAGACCATCATATCTCACTTTCTTTTTCCATTTTATCCTGTAACCCCTATTAGGTATATTTTGGACCTTACTCTATTTTCTGTGTCTAATGACTTCTTCTAGGACACTGATTATATCTTCAGTGCAGCTAATCTCCAATCTAATCCATTCATTGAATTTTTAATATCAGTGGCTATATGTATAGAAATTTTCTTTAGTTATTTTTCCAATTTGCTTAATGTTTTTGATAGTGACTTGCCTATAGATCTTTGTCTATGTTTTGGCATCTTCCTTTTATGTCATTAATACTGTAATTTTAGGCATAACCTGTGTTATAAAAAGTTCTATAATTTATTATCTCTCGAGTTCTTAAAATATATTTTTTTCTGTCCACTGTCTCTCACTCATGGCAGTTCTTGGGTTTTATGTGCATTTTGTAATGCTGAATTATGGTCTTGTGTTCAGGGATGCAGGGAGGGAGTTTTATCTGTGGAAATTATTTGCAGCTTATGTCAAAGATGTGTCCCTCTGAAGTGTAGTTATTTGTTTTAATGGTAGCAGGTAAGACAGTAAAAAGAGACTGTGATACATTTTGAATACAATACTAAGAAGTTTACTTAATTTTGTAGACAGACTTATTTGTTGATTCAAAATGAGAAAGAAGCCAGGTGCAGTGGCTCATTCCTATGTTCACAGGATTTTGGGAGACCAAGATGGGAGGATCATTTGAGCTCAGGAGTTCAAGATGATTGGCCTGAGCAACATAGCAAGACCTCATCTCTACTAAAAATAAAAAAAATTATCTGGGTATGGCGGCGCATGCCTATGGTCCCAGCTATTCAGGAGATCAAGGCAGGAGAATTGGGAGATTGAGGCTACGAGTGAGCTGTGATTGTGCCTTTGCACTCCAGCCTGAGCAACAGAGCAAGCCCCTGTAAGACCCTATCTTAAAAAAAAAAAAAAAAAGAGAGAGAGATTGAAAATGAGCAAGACCAGAGTATATGTTACAAGAAGATAAGTAAAAGTAAAGATGAAGCAAGTTTTAAATGGTTGAAAGTTTTACAGCTTAGATCTATTAGATGATCTAAATTTTTTCATTCAAACTGGAGGCAAGGTCTTTTTCATAGGGTGAGGTAAAGTAGGAAGAATAATGGTAACAACTGAACATTTATTAAGTATCAAATTTCCCTGGTGTGGTGGCTCACGCCTGTAATCTCCAAACACTTTGGGAGGCCAAGGTGGGCAGATCACTTGAGTGAGGTCAGGAGTTCCAGACCAGCCTGGCCAACGTGGTGAAACTCCGTCTCTACTAAAAGTACAAAAATTAGCAGGGCATGGTGGTGGGTTCCTGTAATCCCAGCTACTTGGAAGACTGAGGCAGGAGAATCACTTGAACTCAGGAGGGCAGAGGTTGCAGTGAGCCAAGATCATGCGACTACACTCCAGCCTGGGCAACAAAGCGAGACTCCATCTCAAAAATATAATAATAATAAAATCTAACGCATTGTGTGAGACTCATTTCATAAACTTTTCTCCTATGATCTAATCTTCACAACATAGCCTCAAAGGGCAAGTAGTACTATGTCTATTGAAATTTGGTAGGATTAACTTGGCCAAGCTTTAAGAACTGTTAAATGAGAAGTTAGATTTTTACTTCTTTTGGTTGTGAAAGTCCCAACTGTTTCTTTCAGGCCTCAGATAGAATAATTTAGGGTTGAGAGAATGCAGTCTGGGTCATACATGAGTGTGAAAACTACCTCGAGTTCAAGATCTATATGTTTTTTAGCACGTTTTATAATTATAATGCAATAAACAACTAGCATTTGTTGCTGCATATTAGGCCCTGTTACACATATTATTTAATTCTGAAGACACCAAAATGAGAAAGTATTTTACATACATTTTTCAAATAAGGAAATAGAGACTTAGAGTTACTAGCTTGTTTGCTTAATGACAAAATATTAAAACCAGAATTCAAAATCTGTCCTTCATGAAAAAAGACTGTGCTAGGCATTGAGAGCATGTAGAGGTACAAATATGCCATATTTTGTGACATCAAGTTTACAGCCCAATAAATAATGATGGGACCTTTTCTTTTTTCATTGAGACAGAGTCTTGCTGGAATGCAGTAGCACAATCTTGGCTCGCTGCAACCTCCACCTTCTGGGTTCCAGTGATTCTTGTGCCTCAGCCTCCCAAATAACTGGGATTGCAGATGTACACCAGCATGCCTGGCTAATTTTTGTATTTTTAGTAGAGACAGGGTTTCACCATGTTGGCCAAGCTGGTCTCAAACTCCTGGCCACAAGTGATCTTCCCATTTTGACCTCCCAGAATGCTGGGATTGCAGGCATGAGCCACTGCACCAGGCCTGATGGTATCTTTTGACTGGTTTGTTCTTTCTTTCTGGAACTGGAAAGAGGAGTGAAATTCACCATTCCTGTATCTATCTGCTTTGTACTCCCATTGCCAATCTTAGAAAGGAACACCTTCAAGTTGTATGTAAGCATTTTTACAGTTTACAGCTATTTTTTGTATAAATGGTATATTGAGTTATAATTAGTTTTTAATATTGATATTATGCATTCTTTTGGATTAGTTCATTTTAAAAGCAGTTTTGTATCTTATTTTTTTAAGATGTTGATTTGTTGAATAACATTGACCTATAACTAATAACATTTTTAATAATACTATCATGGTATAAAATGGATAGGTAATTTTTTTTTTAATTTTCAGGTCTTGTATCTGTAGTCTGAGTATTTATATTTCTGATTATTAGAACCAGATCAATAGTAACCATCTTCGAAGAGCAGAACAAGAGGTGGTTAGCCTACAGGAGAAAGTGCAGTATCTTTCCGCACAGAACAAAGGACTCCTTACTCAATTAAGTGAAGCAAAGCGCAAACAAGCAGAGATCGAATGCAAGGTAAATATGTCAATTAACTGATTTTTTTTGTCAATATATAATAATATAATAATAACTTTTTTGGGTTTGTCTCATCATGTTTAGATTATCTTAAAAACAAAACAAAAAGGCTAGTCCTGTTTTCCACTTATTCTGAACTTGTTTTGGTAGTTGCTTTCAAACCAGGTTAGCTCATCTTGCTTCTGTGGTGGGTTTCAGTCAAGAAACATTTTCAGTCACTTCCTTGGTTAATTTAATTTCCTGCATTGGCATTTAATAGTATCTCTTTACACTTTTTCTTTTGACTGGTAACTGTTTAAAACCAGAGCTTTTAATGGCTTGATCAAGAAAAGATAGGTCATTTACAGAAGTTAGGGCTCCTCTGCTTTGATTGGCATCTTATTAGTGAGCAATTAACATTGACATGTTTTCTGGATAGACTGGAGAGCAAATGAAATGTATGTGTACCAGTGGGTTGGGAAAAATGCATTATGTTACCCATTATTTTTTTAATCAGTTATATACTTTGGCTTTTTTGTGAAGTGTTTGGATTCAAAAAGCATCAAAAAGAATGCAAGTACATTCTTTCCTGAAGTAAATTTATAGTATAGCAGTGGTGAGAGCGTGGGGAAAGGCAGTGAGATGGAAGAAGATGGGGGAGGGTTTGGGGGGGAAAGAGAGAGAGAGAGAGACAGAGAGTGTGTAAGTGTGTGAGTGTGTGTGTGTGTGTGAAATAACTAAAGAGATGACTGTAGACTGGGAATTAGAATGGATTACTAAAGGCAAGTTATGGGATTTTAAAAAATAAACTAAGCATCTACATTTCCATGGTGAGATAGTAGGAATGATGCCCTTTAAAGATTCCAGCCTTATTATATAAGAAATAAGACTTTTGATGGCACATATAAAGCTGTAATTCCATCAACGTATTCTGGTGTCATCAAAAACCAAGAGTAAAGCTGGAGTGGTTTATCAGTGTCACTGAAATCCAGAGATGAAATTACATCCTTATAAATATGCATGACTGTTAGAATTTATACTGACAGAAATCTCTAGGCAGTACTGAAATTTGTGCAACGCACAGTCACTTTTGAAGGATATTAAACTAGTTTATAAAGAAAATATTAAATGAAGTATCAATCTGATTTGTCATACCAATATCTGAGTTTTTATTATGCTAAATTATCTGTGCTCACATCTTACAGAGAACTAAATTTAGTCTTTTATTTATTGTTGGTGTTAGTTTTCCTTAAACATATTTTGATAACTGTGTTACTAGATTTAATATTGCTCTTCAAATGCCATAGTACCTGTTGTGCAAAGTAAAATGTTCTTTGGAAATAAATCTTTGAGGAACTTGCTTTTGAAAACAGTTTTCTTTGAACTTACCTAAGTAATGGGCTCAGATTCAGAATATTAAAGGATTTTATGAACTAATATGGGATTTTATTTAATTTTTAATTGTTCATTAATACCTCTGTGAAGTATGTTACAGATGCAGACTCTTATCTACCTGTGTTTAAGCTTTGTGTTAATTTATTCAGTCTTTTGTAATGCCTTTTGCAGATTTCGAGAATGACCAATGTATTGTTATGCAGAATGCACCTAGTACATTCTGATTAAATGTATATATTTTACCTTGTCATGTTGGAATGATTCAGGAACAAAGTTAATTTTTCAAAAAGCCAGTCATTGAAATAAATCTGATTCATTTTCATTTAGTATTATAAGATTATAGCTTATGACTAATTTATAATTATTAAAGCTTTTTTTTTATTTGTGTAAGATGTGTGGATATTGTTTATAATATTAATGGTGTTTTCCCTCTACAACTGAATTTGAATGTTCTCACTTAAAGATGAAATATTACAAGCCTGTGAACTCCAGTTTCAAAATGCCAAGCACTCTAAAACCCTAGAGTTTTTTCATAAATTTCACACAAATTCCTTTGGAGGGAAAACTTAATTTGAATTGATATATGGTCATTTATAATTTTTATTTATTCTACTTGATGTGAACATTTGTATCTCACTGCTTCATTGTATGCATTAAGCATATTGTTTCATTATAGGTGCTGCCTTACACCCTGCTGGATTATACTAATGTGTGGTTTATGCAACCTATTACTTTTCTAAAATATGAAAAATCTGAATTCCAAACACACCTGGTTTATTTTGTTTTGGTTTGGTTTGCTACACTAGAACAAGGAAGAAGTGATGGCTGTGAGGCTTCGGGAAGCAGATAGCATAGCTGCCGTGGCTGAACTACAACAACACATTGCTGAGCTGGAAATCCAGGTACCATATGAAAATAATAAAGTACATGTAAAAATATAGGTTCTTCTATCCTCTTTGTCTGAACAGTAACTTATTCTTTATCCTCATGATTGTGATTTTTTCAACACTTACTTATTTCCAACTTTATTTTTTTTATTGTGATAAAATAGACATAAAACTTACCATTTAAAAGTATACAGTTCCGTGGCATTACGTATATTTGACATTGTTGTGCAGCCATCACCACCATCCATGTCCAGAACTGAACCTCCCTCACTGAACCTCTATGCCTATTAAATACTAGCTTCCCACTCCCTTCCTTCCCTAGCAACTGGCAACCACCATTCTATGTTGTCTCTATAAATTTGACCACTCTGGTTACCTCATGTAAGTGGAATCATACAATACAGTCATATGCTGCATAAGGACATTTCAGTGATGGACAGCATAAATGATGATGGTCCCATAGGATGATAACAGACCTGAAAAATTGCTGTTGCCTAGTGACTATAGCCATCATTATGTTATAGTACAACACATTACTCATGTGTTTGTGATGAGGCTGGCATAAACAAACCCACTGCATTGCCACTGTTATAAAAGCATAGCACATATAGTTGTATATAGTATATAATACTTAATAATAAATGACTATGTTACTGGTTCATATATTTACTGTTTGTTGTTTTGCTATACTATTATTGTTATTTTAAAGTATACTTCTACTTATGTAAGAAGAGTTAACTGTAAGACAGTCTCAGATCCTTCAGGAGGTTTTCCAAAAGGCATTGTTTTCATAGAAATGACAGCTTCATGTGTGTTATTGCCCCTGAGGACCTTCCAGTAGGACAAGATGTGGAGACCGAATATAGTGACATTGGTGATGCTGACCCTGTGTAGGCCTAAGCTAATATGTGTGTTTGTGTCTTAGTTTTTAACACAAATGTTTTAATTTTTCTTTTTGAGACAGGATCTCACTCTGTTGTCCAGGCTGGAGTTTAGTGGCACAGTCATAGCTTACTACAGATCCAACTCCTGGCTCAAACAGCTTCCCCAGTACCGGGGACTACAGGCACACACACCACACCCAGCTTGCTTGCTTGCTTGCTTAGTTAGTTAGTTAGTAGCAATGGGGTTTCACTTTGTTGGCCAGGCTGGTTTTGAATTCCTGGCCTCAAGTGATCTGCCTACCTCGGCCTCCCGCAGTGTTGGGGTTACAAGTGTGAGCCACCTCACCCAGCGTTAATTTTTTTTTTAACTTAAAAATTTTTTTTGTTCATCAGGTGCAATGGCTTACTCCAGATCAGTAAGCTGTGATCACGCCACTGCGCTCCAGCCTGGGCCACAGAGTGAGTCCCTGTTTCAAAAAAATACATTCATTAAAAAATAAAATTAAAAATAGAAGAAAGCTTACAGAATAAAGATATAAAAAAATATTTTGTATAGCTGTACAGTATGTGTGTGTTCTAAGCTAAATGTTATAAAAGAGTAAAGTTTACAAAATATTCAAAGTTTATAAGTAAAAATGTTACAGGAAGCTAAAGTTAATTTTTGTTGACAGAGAGACCATTTTTTTTTTTTAAGATGGAGTTTCACCATGTTGGTCAGGCTGGTCTTGAATTCCCAACCTCAGGTGATCCGCCCGTCTTGGCCTCTAAAGTGCTTGAATTACAGGCGTGAGCCACCACATCCGGCCAAGAAACCTTTTTTTTTTTTTTTTTTTTTTTTTTTT